TGTATAAATTAATATGGATTCATCTTTGTCAAAGCTGTGGTTGTTCTGTTGTTTGCTCTTTGCTCTTCTTGTGCCATTTTAAAATCGATTGAGTTTGTAAACACATACAAATGATAAACATGTCAAAACGAAAACACAGATACTTACAAGACCAAGTAGGAATGTCCTTTATCGTTTGTTGTTTGCCAGCTGCTCTCCGACAAGTAAACTTAGTGCTCGCTGGTGTAAAAAAAAATTCAAAACACAACACTGGTCTCTAACTCTCGTGTCTGGTGTTGTCAGTAGTCATGTCTCAGTAGGGCTACAATTGCCATCTAGTGGTTGGGAATTGTAATTGCATTTTTATTTATAAAATGAAAGACAGCCGAATATCAATAATATCATTTTCCCTATAAGTGCCCCCCACAATCTGTCTCTGCCTCCAAAATTGTCCGGCACAACTGACTTCATAACAACACAGTGATAGCTGCTGTAACCAAAATGTAGCCCAGTACAAACATTAACCTCAAATGTACATGGAATAATAAATTCACCCCCTACCGTTTTATTACATTATGTTTTCTGTTTGTACTGTTTAGGTTTTAATGCTGCATTGCACATCTGAGCTATTTGCACTTATTATTTGTATTCTTAAGCTTTACTATCAATTTGGAAGTTTCAAAATAAATCTTATTGTAACGTTACTTTTACAATGCCAAAGATATTCTATTCAATTAGCTCATGCTCTCTCTTTATCTAACATGCCATTGTTTAGTAATAAATTCAATATAATACGGTAATTAAAATAAATTATGGACTTTGTCAAAGATGAGAGCTTTAGTGAGGAAATGTTGTTTTGGAGAAGGTTTTTTTTTTTTTTTTTACCATTGCTGCCCGCATCTTTTCCAGATGTTGAAACTCCTCAGTTTCTCCAATTCTTCTGAGTGTGTTCACTGTATAAATGAATATGGATTCATCTTTGTCAAAGCTGTTTGTTCTGTTGTTTGCTCTTTGCTCGTCTTGCGCTATTTTAAAATCGATTGAGTTTGTAAACACATACAAATGATAAAACTTTTACTCTATTAAATTTTGCAATTAATCCTCTGAACACATGCGTCCTGAACCGTGGGCCTAGTCACGGATCACTGTCAACTACGATCTGCTCCCTTCACTAAAATGCCACGGTTCCTAAACATGATAATAAATAATGAACACGTCAAAACGAAAACACAGATACTTACAAGACCAAGTAGGAATGTCCTTTATCGTTTGTTGTTTGCCCGCTGCTCTCCGCTCCTAAAAAAATTCAAAACACAACACTGATCTCTAACTCTCGTGTCTGGCGTTATCAGTAGTCATGTCTCAGTAGGGCTACAATTGACATCTAACGGTTGGGAATTGTAATTGCATTTTTATTAATAAAATGAAAGACAGCCGAATATCAATAATATCATATAATGTGTATGAATGTAACATTTAGCAGCTTGTGGGATGCATGGCATCATATTATCAAATGCAAGTAAACTTTTTAAACATTTAAATTAGCTTTATTTTTGGCATAATAAATAATGCTATATTTAATAATCACGCTTTTACATGATTGTAAAGCATTTTGGGTGTACAGCAATACACAATAAAGCGCTATATAAATGCATCATTCATTCATTAATAATGCTGTACAATAATTAAATACAATATAAAATAATGCTAATTTAAATGATTCAAACGTTTACTTGCATTTGATAAGAAGCTGCGTGGGCGAAACCTACATGTAAACAATTTTAAGGCTATTTTGGCCATGCTCATCGCTGGTCTGGTTACTGGTATAGGGCTCAAGCCAAGCCGTTCAAATTAGACCACAGATTGCCTCGATTTCGCCAGGTGGGCTAAAAGCAGACTACACGTAGCCCGTCTAATTTAGAGCTAAATCGTGGCTACATATAGACCATGTCATGAAATTACACTTATATCTTTGTAGATATTATTGACATTGCGAACATGATGGGATATCAACCATCTCATGCGCTGCCTGGCCAAAAACTACAGTGAATCAGGTTTGACTATAAGTGGGCTACAGATTTCCGCTCGGACTACGAGCTAAATCGTGGCTACGCACAGGCTACGTATTGAACATGTCAAAGAAATGAAACCAAACACCTTGTAAACGCTGTTGACTTACATGATGCTTACATGATGGAATATCATACATCTCAAGTTATTTTGCCAAAAAATGACATGAACCCAAATTCAAGGTTATTTGGGCTAGAAGTGGGTTACACATAGCCGGACTTTATCGGGTCTATACTTAACAGAGACGTTGAAATGACGGCTATTGCTTGCTGGGAAGTGTCATTTATGCCGTCATCACGTGTTGATAGCGCAGGTGAGACCTGAACAGCAAACGTTGCTATCTGTGTTTAAACTAAACTCATTTAAGCCTGGCCAGTTTAAATATTAAAGAGCCAGAAGACGTGAACTTGCGCGCGCAGTGAGAAGATCTGTGTGGTCGCTCATCCGAAGCGCGTGAACCCGCGTCTCAGAACGCGCGCAAATATTAAGCTCTCTGTGAAGTATTGTGTTTGAATGGACAAATTCACACAAAAATTGTCAAAATGCCCGTCTTGGTGAGTAATCCTAGCAGACATAGTCGGCTGAATGTACAGTATCAGTCAGAGGCGGACAGATACTGCTGGTTAAATATTACTACATTACAAGTAAAAGTTGTAAAGACAGATTTTTACTTAAGTAAAAGTACAGAAGTACTTGCTTTTAAAAGTACTTAAGTACCAAAAGTAAATTTCCTTTTTTGTCAATGCACTTTTTTTATTGTTGTACGGAATACTTGCAATACTTCTGAAGCAACTTTGAATACATTACACCTACTGAATACACTGACTAGCTTGTAGTATCTTTGGAATAAAGAGCTTTTAGAATGTTAAAAACCTATGGGGGAAAAAAATTAACACCCCTACCCACCCGCAGTATGGTAGTGATCTCACACAGTTCTGACAGTGTATGCACACATCTATGTGTAGCAATTCATCCACATTTGAACAGAGAGGACAGTGAAATCCTGTAAATACAGAGTGATAAGGAAGAATAAAAATCAAACATGCTGTAAAACCCAGCAACACAACTGTAGCTGTACAACTTTACAACAGCAACACTGCTTTAACAAAAAAGCAAAACAGCAAGACTTATTTGACATAAAAAAAAAAAGCTGTCAAATAGCTCTGGCTGTACTTTTATGTCTATC